GGAGCAAGCCAATGTTGATATATGCAGCTAATGTACATATGAACACAATATGAATAGTTTGTGAACAATAGTTCCTTCATTATGAACACATTCAGAAGCAAGTCAATGTTGAGATATGCAGCTAGTGTACATGTGAACACAATATGAACACTTTTTAACAATTCTTTAACAATTACATATAAATTTGAATTCCGATTGTAATCGTAGACGATTTTAACCTTTTCATTCTCATTGTTGTCGATCTGTTTTCCAATAGGTTTATCCATATTACTCGGACGATATCGAAATCTTTACAATCGGAAATTCTTTAACAATTACAAAATCAATATCATTATGGATAGAATAAATCGAAATTACAAAACATGAACACGTATAAGAAAATATCAATATTACATAATCATCAATTATTGAGATTTTTAGATTTGTAACTCCCAATTAATGATTTGGGAGTTACATAAATGACAAATTACTTAATTATCATTGACATTAATATATGAGTTGTATGTGAACCTAAAGAAAAGCTGGAATATGATTGGTTGAGCTTGGTTAACAAAGTTAACACAAAAATATTGGTTAGTATTTGAACCAACCTATATATATATATATATATATATATATATATATATATATATATATATAGTTACATCAATTATGTTTCACATGGCTTGTAAGTTCACGACTTAATTTGTTCTTCCAGCTAGCATGTGCTTTATTATTGTGTGGATGAGATTGTTACAGCCTGAATGCAATTAATCACTAATAAATATACGATTCCTTCAATTTTCCATTACATGCCTACATGGTGACACCATGTTGTAGAGTTGCTACAGTGACAAACCATAAGTTGTTGCTACATGGTACAGCTTCTTGTAATTATTAGTGTTATGTCAGTTCTTATTTTATCATATTAAACATTAAGACACGTAACATATAAATTGTTGTTCGATCGAGCAGCAACATGAACAATTAATAATCGAAAATCCACACAACATGTCTAGGAGCTGAGTGAACCCCATACATGTTCTTATTATACAAATAAAGAAGCACTTGTACGAAATTAAACAATAATGTGATGGTGCATGTAACTTTAGTACGTGGTTGCATGCATGGCTTAATTATTGAGGTGGTGAGTCTCGATGTCTTTTGTGACATTGAGGCAGAACTCCATCAAAGTGTTTGGATCTTTGACCTTTTCATTCAGCTTCTCGTAACTGAAACTCCAAGTCACCAAGTTATCTTCCCCCTTTGTGTCCACGTGAACAGTGATGAAGAAGCTCTTGTAAGCTTCCATTAGATCACCTTCCACCACCTTGAAGCACACTGACTTTTTTTCCTCATCGATTGCTTCAATCACTTCCTTAGCCACTTTTGCCTTCCCATCTATGCCACGCCACAACAAAAACACATTATATTATAAGACTGTCATAGTCTCATATCAACAACATTTGGACACTTTCTATTCAAAGGTTTTTTTTTTCAAAAAGTAGACTAAGTATAGGGTTTACATATTATCACATGATATCAGAATCCATTTCCACAACCTGGGACATTTTTAAACGGTTCTCATTTGATTAGACCTATATATATATATATATATATATATATAGAGAGAGAGAGAGAGAGAGAGAGAGATAGAGAGAGAGAGAGATGAGCGATCAAATACAAACCACCCAATTTGTACAAACCGTGCAAATCATCCTCATCCGTTGATTTCATTGTTTAATCTTATGAAATTTTTTCATGAAATCGTTTAATCTTGTGAAATTGTTTCATATAATATTTGGTTTTGATGAAGTTGTTTCATATATATGATTATGAAATTGTTTCATATAATACTTAATGAAACTGTTTCATGTATTTATCTAAAATTAATATAATGAAGATATAATATCTATGATTAATACACTCCACAATAAAAATGATTAATCAACCTCTCATAAATACAAAAAAAAAATGAACAAAATGAAAAATTATGATTGGTTGAATGGAGTTTGTACGGTTTGTACAAATAACGTGGTTTGCAAAGTAAACCTCCTATATATACACACATACACACACACTTGGGATCACATGGGACCGGCTTGTTTTCATAAGACCACTTTTTTACACTTAAAACATCACAGACCTATAATATATATGTGGGGTGGGGTGGGGTGGGGTGGGGTGGGGAGATAGTAGCCGTGATCATTGTTGGTTCTCGATTTATCACGGCATTATCATGACATTATCACAACAAAATCACATAATTTATCAGATGATTATCGCAGGCAAATCACATCATAAAAATATTCAATTTATTAAAACATTATCACATTATTACCACAACAAAATCATATCACATCATTATCGTAAAGAGACGCAGATCAAGATTTAAGAGATAATGACAAATCTAATATAATAGAAAACTATGGATAAATACTAATTTATTTTCATTTTATTCTATTTTTTTATTATGTGTTAATTAATTTGGAGGTTCAGTTTATATTTTTGTAAAACAGGGTATTCTCATTTGAAACTTTCCTATGTATATCTATAGATATTATGTGTGTGTGTATGAGAGAGAGAGAGAGAGAGAGAGAGAGAGAGAGAGAGAGAGAGAGAGAGATATATATGGAGTTACCATGAAAATAGTTCCAAGAGATGATGGAGCCGATGGTACCCCATTCACCATCATGAAGATTAACACCTTGGATGCTCCCAGGACAGATATCTGATATTTTGTGTGGTTTGTATCTGAATATTTCATGGAACACGTCTCCATCTGACTTGATCCTTGTTTGGTTAACCAGCTTTCCATTTACACCCATTTTTAATTTCTCAACTACTTAATTATATTTCTTGATGACGATTACATTTGCAACCATCTTGGACTTTATATAGCCCTTCCCCGTTTCTCCTTTTCACCAATAATTCCACACAAAATAAATTAACAATCTCTAGGTGACGACCGTGTGACAAAATAATTAAATATATTATAAGGTCTTGAAAACCATTCATAACGAATATATTAAAAGTAACTTTATCATTTCCTACAACAAAACGAGTTTGATCATATAAAAATAAAAACAGGTTTATATCATATAAAATTATCGTAAAACAGTAAAATTGAATTTATTGAAAACGTTTTGTGTGGCAAAACCCCGTATAGTAGCAGCTTTCTTGAAAATTAAGCCCATCTCTCAAATCCAAGTGTATGGAGCTGTTGATTAATTGCGTTTGAATAGGGTTCAATAATATACAGCTAAAATTATTCATCGCACCTAAAAGGATTTGAAAACTAAGCTCCAGTTTCGAGGTACGTAGATAAACACGTTTATTGTTCTCAAAATTCGACCGACAAATTCATTTTTTATTTGTACGTATAACTTTTTACCATTGCAAAAACTCGGGTGGCAAAATGCTTATTTGACTTCTTTATGAGCAAAAATCAATTACTTTACCTGATTATCAATGATTCAATGGCCCAACGACAGAACAACAAAAAAAAGAAGGTGGATTGTCACAGAAAATATGCTTTGGCCGGTGTTTCATAATTCCACCATTGAAGTTTTAAATAAAGTAAAGTGGTAATTATAATAATCATTAATAAAACGACATAAACGTGATGTTTTACCCACAATGAATTTATTATCTATATTATCTTATTAAGCAAATTTAGCAAAAATCTTAAAGTCTTAAAATATTAAATGATCAAAATACTTTTTATACTCACTTTTTCACCCCCCCCCCTCCTCTCCTCGCATACACTCACCCTCTCACAACCGATTTTTTTAAAATTATAGTTTTAAATTTACATTTTATACCCCTATAATTAATTAATTAATTTAATTTACGTCTTTTACTTTTAAATATTTCATTTTAAATCATTATCAAATTAACATACATAATCGTATATCAATTAAAACATGTTTAAAAAATACATTTTTATTTTAACAAATTACACCATTATAATCGTTTCGTTAATACTTTCGAAATGAGTCCAATATTAAATAGTTTTTGACTTAATTATATTATTATATATTACATATAATGTGAAAAAATATTTTTAATATTTACGATTTATACTTTTATAGTTATTTATTTATATATATACTATATATTTTGGGGTTAGGCTGTCAAAATTACACTGTATAATATGTTTTGAATCAATATGTTCTTAGGTTTTTTTGAAATATACATATATATACATGTATTCATTCAACCTTAATCTGAGTTTCTGGACAAGAAAGAGGGTAAGCAGTTGAAATTTTATTTTAAAACCCATCTTTTTTTTGTCTTTTCATGGCTTATGATCTATCAAATTTGTAGTTTTCTTTATTGGTTTTGAGTGTTTATCTTAAAACTCAAGTTTCGTGGTTCTTTGCTCTTGGTGTAAATCGAATACATTTGTGGAGTCGTTTAAATATGTTGGATATTAAATATATTGAATTTTAAACTGTCATACAATTTTTTTCATTGATAGTCTGTAATTGGAACCATAGCTCTTATTTATTCAAATTGTATTAATATGTAAAGACCAAGTGTAACCTATATCATCGTTAAATCTTATCTTATAAAACCAGTGGAACTTCAAAATCGTTAAAATTCATGGCTCCCGTCGTATTGCGCAGGTACACAACTAGTAAATAAAAATGACTAGGGGTGTAAACGACACGAAACAACTCGCGAACTACTAATCGACTCAGTCAAAGCTCGGTCAACACTCGACTCGAATAGGCTCGGCTCCAACTCGACTCGATATATTAATGAGTTGAGTCAAGCTACCCAATACTCGACCTCGAAAAGCTCGTGAGATACTCGATTATTTTATATATAATTAGTTTTAAAATATAATTAGTTTTTATAATGAAATTTGTAAAATATAAATAAAAAATGTCTTATATTTTTAAAGATTTAAACAAAATTATGTATTTTTTAATTATAAAAATTAATCAATTATTTTTTATTAAAATCACAGTTAAAAAAGACGAAGAAAAACTATAAAAGAAAGTTAGTGAGATTGTTCCACATTGAAAAAGAGATGGTAAAAGAAGAGAGAAAATATGTTATAAAAAGATAGAGAAGTGAATTAAATTTCTAACTTTGTCTTTTTGACAATAAAGTTTAAAGTTGATCTCTTCAGTTTTATAAAAACTAAGAGAACACTTTTAAGTTTTAAAATTTATAACAGAAAGAACCTAAAGTTTCATAAATTTTCAATGGATGAACTTAGTTTGAGCTCGAGTTCGAGTTCAAGCTTGATTTGAGTGGTAGTTCGAGCTTGATTCAAGTTCGAGTTCTAGCTTGAGAAATAATTATCGAGTTCAAGTCGAGCTTTGATTTTTACTACTCACGAGTTTTCGAGTCGAGTTCGAGCTTGAAAATTGGGTCTCGAGTTCGAGCTTGAAAATTGGGTTTTGAGTTCGAGTCGAGTATAGTAATACTCGAGCTCGACTCGTATCATTTACACCCTAAAAATGACGCGTAAAATTAACATTCATTTAAAAAACATAATTACAAAACAAGAGGATGGAAATTTCCGATTAATTAACACAATTTACGTTAAAAGCAATATGAAATTATAAATCGGAGCTCTAGATTTAAATTTTCGTTATTTTATAAATGTCTCAGTTATAAATTCAAATAAACAACGGTCACTACTTTATATTTTATGTGCACTATAGTTACACGATGAAAATACTAAAAAGTCTAAAAAATTTAATAGACTTTAATGTTTGTAATGATTATGATTTTGGACAATTTTTTTTAATATATAAGTTATTGGATTTTCTGAAACTATGTAAAATAAATCTTTGGACTTTTTAAATACAAATTAAATTCATTCTTATGATGAATATCTACATATGGCAAACGAAATGGACACCTGTTTCTATAACTTGATCTCAACACTATCATCGTGTTCATCAAGTTGGAACTTCACGTTGTCAATCGTGTTTACTAATCAAAGCTTATTTAAAAACTGATCATCGAATGTTTTGTTTAAATTAATTATATCATCCTCATTTTCGAGTTCTAGGAATAAAAATAAAATTTGTAATAAAGTCTTAGCTTCCGACGGAAAGTTGATAAGTAAAATCATTGTTTTATGTATGAACATTGATTGTTCACCAGAAAGTTGATAAGTAAAACAATGATTTTTGTTTAAAGTTCATAATATTGTTTCATATATGAACATTGGTTGTTCCAAAAAGAGCTATCAAAGTTCATATATAGGTGGAATCAGAAAGCGAATAAGCTAATTAAGGAAGTTTAAACAAAGTATATAAGATAATTAATGAATTTGATAATTAAGGAGTGTGATATCGATATGATTTAACACATGTTGCATTAACTAYACRTAGACGCTTGATTATATATGATAAAACACACCCAAAAAGAGTGTRATYATATATGATACTGAAATTTCTCGCCTTCTCGCAAATTAATTAATTTCTCGCATGATCCTTCCTATATATATAGGGTACATAGAGAAACAAATTAAATACAAAAAATGGAAATGTTACAAACTGTAGATACGAATCTCAATCATCTATCTAGTCTAATGAATTTCTGGTTTCATAAATACATTAGCCGTTTCCTAATATAAGTGTTAATCATAATTAATGAACTTTGATCATCTTTTATGAATATTTAAATTGTAATAAACGAACCTTCATCATTTTCATAAATATCTTAATTGATTGTTTCTATGGTTTGTAATATTTCAATTGTTTGTCCTAAAAAATATAAACCATAATAATTGCATATATTATGAAACAATTGAGATATTTATAGACGATTATCATGATTCATTAATTATGACTGAGTTATATATGGAAGATGATAAATTTCATTTATTATGATCATGGCTTTAGATTAGGAAACAAAATGAAATCATATATTTTATTAGATTAGATGAATGGCTAAGATGTGATTTGCACAATTTGTTAGAATTAAAAGGTTTGTAAAATAAACCTCCCCTATATATATACGGGTGGATTCAAATGAAAACCGAGTTTCAGTTATGAACAAGGGGACAAAGAGGGTGACACATGTCCCATGCGTCCAAGGGTTATTTATCATGAATAATGACGAATGTGTATTATTCATCATGAATAATAAATCAATTTAACATGGATTATGAATGTTGGATCATGAATGTTGTATCATTCATCATGAATAATTTCATAAACTTCACCTTCGTTATTCATACTGAATGTAGATGTTTGAAACACATGTCACGCTCTCCATTATCCTTTAATTAAAACCGAAAATCGATTTGAAATCAAAGTTTGTTTTCTCTCTCCCTTTTTATATCTTCCACCAAAAAAATGTGCTTATATTATTGGACCCACACACTAATTCCAAATGAACCAAATCCATGAATAAATTTGGTTGTTTTTTTCTTGGGTGGTTGGTCCCGATGATTGCGGCTAAGTAATTTTTACTTAAATTACAACAAATTATTTATAAATTTTTTAAAATAAATAACAAAAAGTTAAAATCTCTAAATTATGTTTGGTTATTCACATAATATAATCTATTATAATTGAAATTTGTCAAATGAATTGAAATTTAATCATGTTTAACCATATGTTTGATTGAGAACAATTAAAATGTAATATGTCAAAAGCTTTTGAATGTTTGTTTGATTTATTTGAATATAGTAGTGGTTGTGAGATGGAGGTGGTAGTCATATCGATCGACAATGTTGGTGGAGGTGAAGGTGACGGCCAATGATAGTGGCAATGCTGGTGATGCAACAACAGTAATAACAACCATCATTGTGTAGTGGGATGGAATAGAATGTAATAAATATAAGAGTACGATAGTTTTACTTAAAATATTAGATGAAACAATTTTAGAA